TATTTTTAAAAAAATGCTCTCTCAAAGCATGACACAATTGTAATTTCTGATGATTTTGTTCTGCAGATGTACCGTATGAAGAAGACTCCAGCCGTGGAGAAAATCTGTGTGGGTGTTCCTGCTGCAGAGGTACATCACACACACACACACACACACACACAGCCACACACACACACACACACACACACACACACACAGACACACACACACACACACATGATATGAAATGAAAAATTAATTTAAGCACTAATAAGAAGAAAGTGTCTCATTTTTAATAAGTGCATAATCCCAAAGGTCTTTAAACAACGTCTGCTTCCATGGAATGACTTTCAGTAGATATATGCATTTACTATTTGTCAACATGGACAGAAAATATTAATGAAATGATCTGTAACTAAGAATGTATTTTCCCTGATACCACCAGCCATCATCTATCAATAACAGTTCATGGCTGTGATGTCAAATAAAGGCTGCTGGCTATTTTAAAAAAGCACATGCTTTTCGATGCGTCCCGTCTCAACTGTCAATTAAACAATATCCAATGAGTGCGAATGGAAAGCTGCTAACTGCTGTGCAATATGAAGTACATCGGCACAGGAATGAATGTTGTGTTCTTTTCATGATGTTGTTTTGTGCTGTGAATAATGATTGTGTTTTGCAGTGCTTTGGTTTGCTGGGGATCAATGGTGCAGGTAAAACTACGACTTTTAAAATGCTGACGGGAGACATCAGCCCGACGGCCGGAGACGCTTTCCTGAACGGATACAGGTGAGTCCCTCCGTCCATCGCATCTCTCTGGAAAATCACTGCTGTTACACGTCTAGTCTTCTTGATGTTGATGTTGTTGTTTCCACTATTGTTCAGCGAAAGGATGCACTTGATCTCCACGTGTTTATTTTCAACCTCGGGAGGTTAAACTAAATATTACTGTACATGAGCTGTTTTATTTCATATTAATTTCTGAGGAGTTTACCTAAATTTAGCATTAATCGAATAAAATAAATTGAATGAATAATTAAAAAATACATCAGAACGATGCACTTTCATAAAATTAAAGAAACAATCTTTCTTTGATCATTCTTACAATAAACTGGAGTAACAGGGTTGAATAGTTGAGTTGAATGCAGTGAACAGAACTGTATTTGTAAGAATTGGAATGGAATTAAATTATTATAATATAATTATATATTGCAAATAAGTATTGCCACAATGTGGAAGGAATCTGATTTTAAGCAATGTTACTTTTTTTGTTGTAATTCAATGCAGTAACAGGGTTGCACACAAAACCCTATTTTTTATTATTATTATTATTTTATTTGTTATTGTTTATTATTTCAATAATATAAATACTTCCTGTTAATTAAAGGGAAAAAAAGATTTAATTTCCCAAAAATATATTGTTATTTCTTCCAGTGATCTTGGGTTACAGGGTTGAATGTTTGCGCTTGATGAACAAAATTGGTCAAAATTGGTCAACAAAACAATATTTGTAAGAATGAAATTAAATTATTATAATATAAAAATAAATTATTATTGCAACAATGTAGAATTAATCAAATTTGAAGCAATGCTACTGTTTTGTTGTTGTTTATAATTGTCTTATTTTCTGTAATTCCACGTGGTAACAGGGTTGCACACACAAGCTAATAAAGCTTAATATTTAACTAAATTTAAATTAGTTAATAATTAAAATAGTTTTACTGCAATAAACTGAATATCAATTCGACGGATAATTTCAAAATGTTTTTATTTGATTTTTATTTATTATTTTTTTTCCAAAAATATAAATTTTTACATAAATTAAAGGGAAATATCTTTAATATTCCTCAAAATTAAAAAAAAAATATTTATTTGATTATTTATTGCTTAAATAAAGCTTAATATTTAACAAAATTTAAATTAGTTAATAATTAAAATAGTTTTACTGCAATAAACTGAATATCAATTTGACGGATAATTTCAAAATGTTTTTATTTGATTTTTATTTATTATTTTTTTTCCAAAAATATAAATTTTTACATAAATTAAAGGGAAATATCTTTAATATTCCTCAAAATTAAAAAAAAAATATTTATTTGATTATTTATTGCTTACAATAAACAGGGTTGAATGGTTGAGCTAAATAATTAAAATAGTTTTTAATGCAATTAGATAATTAAAAAGAAAATTATTTCGTTTGATTTTATTTATATCGGGTTGAGAAGGTCAAGGTCTCTGAAGGTTAAAGTGTACAAACTTGTGATGCATTTAAACCAGCTGCTTTGATTAATTTTATGTTAGATAAATTTAAGTAATCTAACTTTTCTAAAGACAAAAAAAAATGGGTTTGTGTGACTTTTTGTGGAGTGTCCCGTCTGTGTGTTGATTGTTCAGTCGGTGAACAGAGATGAGAGAAGGAGAGCAGACGCCGTCCTCCTGTGCGTCTCTGTGTCATTCATCTGTGAGACGAGAGACAGACGAGCCGCTCATGTCCGAGGGGCGGGAAACACAGCTGTCAATCACTTCACAGATAGCGGAGTTTACTTTTCCAGTTTGGCATTGGCGCTGCTGTCCTGCGGCTCAGGCTGACAGCCGAGATCAGCACGACTTTATCTTTCTCTGCTTTTGTCTCACAGACTCACATATACTTTCATTTTGAAAGTTTCAACTTTTTAAGTGACATGGGGGTGGAGTTTGATCTTTGGAATCCAAAGGGGAGGGGCTTGATATGTACATTTCATTTTACATGTATAGGAGAATGTTGTCATTTTAGAAGGAGCATCACATTTTTAAAATAACTAGTTTGTTTGTTTTGAGACCATGAGTTGTACTTTTTACACAGGGTTATTATTATGAACTAAAATAAACCATAAAAAAACGTTTTCATTACTTGGAAAAAAAACAAAACATTAACCAATACTAATAATAATAATGATTAAATTTTTCAATTCAATTCAAGTTTATTTGTATAGCGCTTTTCACGATACAAATCGTTGCAAAGCAACTTTACAGCAAATTAAGTAGGTAAGGTAGCTTATCAGTGGTGACTGTCAGTTAATGTACATATGGCAGAAATGTACGGAAAATCAATTAAAGATGTAATCAAACAGACGATGAACACTATTAACAGCAATTATTATATGATGCAATCAAACTTATAGCAAAATGTGGTAGTTCTGTATGTTGTTTCAGGGTTGGCATCATCTGAGGTCCTCTGAGGGGTTGGCATCATCTCTTCTCAGGTGTTCTGGATCCAGACTGAAGCTTGTGGGGATGTCAATCCCGTGGCAAAAACAGAAA